GAACTGCAGCAAGAATTACATCAATACCCCGAGCAGAATGAATATAAAGATGTTTATGAAGTTTGGCAGCACCCCCCAAAAATGAACTCTGTGAGAAGTAAATCCCCACAAAAGGCAAAACGCGATGAAATTAGTTTTGAAAAGAAGTCAGCTTTTGTTCGTCAGAAGTTTATTGAAGCAAAATGTTTATCCATAGATGAACAACTTCGCCAGTCTAAGGAATTCCAAGATGCATTGGATGTCTTAAGTTCCAACACGGATCTGTTCCTCAAGTTTCTGCAAGAACCAAATCCAATGTTTACTCAGCATTTATATAATTTGCAGTCTATACCTCCTCCTCCTGAAACAAAGCGAATAACTGTTCTAAGACCATCAAAGATGATTGATGATTGTAAATTCAGTGGATCAGTGAAGAAAAATGAGAAAAATATAAGCAGAGCCATCCATATAGGCCAGGGCAACAAGGCCAAAGCTCATATGGAATTTTCCCCTCCTGTAGCAAGTTGGAACATTGATGAAAGTCATGCTCAAGCTACACGAATAGTCGTATTAAAACCAAGTCTTGGTAAGACTCACAACTTTAGGGATGCAAGTTCTTCACCATCTGCATCACCAAGAGTATCACAAACTGAAACAAGTTTTGTCAACATGGAGGCTAATGAAGCTCAAGAATCAAGAGAAGTGGCAAAGGCTATTACACAGCACATGCGAGTAAACATAGGTGGACATCAAAGGGATGAAACATTACTTTCTTCTGTATTTGCAAATGGCTACATTGGTGATGAAAGCTCATTTAATAAATCTGAAAAAGAGTATGCAGCTGGAAATCTCAGTGATTCTGAAGTCATGTCACCAGCTTCTAGGCACTCATGGGAATATATCAATAGGTTTGGCAGCCCTTATTCTTGTTCCTCCTTGAGCCGTGCTTCTTATTCCCATGAATCTTCAGTTTCCAGAGAAGCCAAGAAGCGACTTTCGGAGAGGTGGGCGATGGTGGCATCTAATGGCAGTTGTCAAGAACAAAGACAAATGAGGAGAAGCAACAGCAACACTTTAGGTGAAATGCTTGCTCTTTCTGATATTAAGACGACCAGTAGAATGGAGCAGGATAATATTAAAGAAGATTCCCAGATTTCAAATTCCAACTCTGTGAGTAAATCCAAAGATGATGAAGGTATCAACAAGTCACCAAAGAATCTTTTGAGATCTATGTTTGTTCCTGTATCCTCTACTGCATTCAGTTCACAGTTGAATGTGGATGCCCCAGATCCCGTGACAGGAGAAAATGACCTTCCCAAGCATACAACAAAATCTAGAAGTACAAAATCATCATTGAAAGGGAAGTTCTCAAATCTCTTTTTCTCTAGAACGAAAAAGCCAAACAAAGACGGAGCCAAGTGTTTGCAATCCAATGATGACTTGCAGTCCAGCGCAAAGCCTTTACATTCTCTATCAGAACTTGACAAATATAGCGGTGTTGATGATCCAGGGGTTGAGTGCTCAACAACCAATATTCGTGAATCATCATGTGCACTAACTTGCGAAGATTTGGTTGGGAAGCAAACCGCAACCTCTCTTGAGGTAAAGCAGTTACCTGATGTTTCTTCCTATTACTCTGTAGCAAGTTGGAAAAGGGTTATTTGCATTTTACATCATTATTTTGTTTGTGGATTCGGTCTACACATCTTTTATGTCATGCATTTACAATGTCTTGCATATTTTATGAGATCACTCTGTGATGTCTTTAAAAAAATCTCTTTTTCATTTTAATGTGTGGGAATTGTCTGAAAATGGAGAACTCAAATAGCGTCAACATGACTACTTAAGAAGTTCAAAGCGGATTTATGTTATAACACTTTTGTAGGTTGCGCTCTTCGGAGCAAGATCTTTGCGCGCCAGACACCTATGTGAGAACCAGGACCAACCAAGTCCTATATCAGTTTTGGAGACACCATTTGAAGAGGATGACCATCCAACACGTATATCATCTGGAGGTATCAAGCCAGACCGTCATGGTAAATGTCGTCAACGAACTCCCATAATTCTTTGCTTCTTTTTACTTTCTTGGTTTAAAACTAAATGTATTCCTCCCACCCCAATCAAATTAACAGGTGCCGAGTTATCTGTTCACCCTTTAAGGTCCAATTTGATTGACAAATCTCCTCCAATAGGATCAATTGCACGTACATTGTCCTGGGACGATTCTTGTGCAGATACAGCCAGTTCAGTTTGTGTAAGACCATCGTCATCCACTCAGAGGACTGAGGAAGTAGAACGTGAATGGTTCTCTTTTGTTCAAACATTACTAACCGTGGCCGGCCTTGATGAAGTGCAGCCTGATGCTTTCTCAACCATGTGGCATTCTCCTGAAAGCCCTTTGGACCCATCACTCAGAGAAAAATACATTGATCTGAATGAGAAGGAGACACTACATGAGTCTAAGCGAAGGCAAAGGAGATCAACCCAAAAGCTTGTGTTTGATTGTGTAAATGCAGCTTTACTAGAAATTGCAGGATATGGGGCAGACAACTTCCAAAAAGCCATACCTTATATGGGGGTCCACAATAATCTGCCACAGGGAACTAGACTAGTATTATTGGAACAAGTGTGGGACCGGATGAAGGAATGGTTTTCTAGTGAAGTGAAATATCTGTCTACTGATGGTGGGGACTTAAACAGCCTGGTTGTTGAGGAAATGGTAGGGAAGGAGGTGATGGGCAAAATGTGGCTTGAAAACTTGAGATTAGAATTAGACAACGTAGGAGTCGAAATTGAAGAGAAGTTGCTCGAAGAGCTTGTGAATGAATCCGTCGTTGAATTGGCAGGTAAAATGTGATGAGCCTTCTCTCCAATTCTTCTTCTGTTTTTTGCATTTTTTCTTGCACATTTATATAAGATTATTGTTGTTTGTGTATGTATTATTGTATTTGCCAACAACACTGCCTACAAGTAATTTGTTTAATGTTGTGAACAGGGCCGGCTCTATGCCTACTTAAATAAGGCATTGGCCTTAGGCCCCCAATTTTAGGGGGCCTCAATTTTTTACCAAAAATAAATTATGTGTTAATTTTGTATAGAAAAAATATTAATTATTTATGATAAAAAGTATATATTTAAAATTATTCTCTTCAACCCCATTCAAATAGAAGAAATCAAGAAAATATTGTTTTATTTTCTTACACTCTCTCCACTAATACTCACATTATTTTATTATTTTTAACTCCTTTTACACTCTCTTCTTTAAATTGTTGATAAGTTAGAGTAATATTCTATCAAAAATATCAATTAATAGTTGAAAAGTGTTGAACAAAGTGAATTGTAAATTATTTTTCCATTTCTTCTTAGATTTTCAAGCATTACAACAACCATTGTAAAATGTGGGGTAACCAAATTATCAACTTCATCAAAGCTATAGTTCTAACTCTTATATTTATTTGAAATTTGTCAACTTATTACTTGTAGAACTATGTTAACAATTCATATAATGATTGTCCGAGTAAAATAATATTTTTCAACGTTGAATTGATAAATTCTTATTTAAAACTAATAATTGAAAAAGAAATCGAATAAATCATTTATATATATAAAAAATATTAAGTAATACTTTGTATTTAAAAATGTAAGAAAAATAAATTTTAAATAAATGCGTGTGAAGTTTATTTAGATTTTAGGCCTCTAATTAAGATTTCGCTTTAGGCCTCCGATAACGTTGAGCCGCCCCTGGTTGTGAAGTGTATGAAATCTGTACTGATCTATATCTGAAATTATTTTGTATATACATATATGCTTTGACTGTAATATAAAAAATAGAATACAGACACAAATGTGCATTTTGTTTATTAACCACCGGAATATTCTTAGCTGGAAAGGAAATGTACCTTGTTTGTATTTTAAGTACAAATTTACCAGCTAGATGGGATTTTAACCAGAAGCCAAAAAACAAGAGTGAAAGAGGAGGAAAAATCTTGTGACTGGCAGCTGAACAACTCTTTTGACTACTCGTTAAAACTGAATTATTTTTCTTTTGAATAACTAGAAAAATAAAGCAGAACACCGACAAGATATGAGCAAGTAAAAGATGTTTTGTCATGGTATGTGCAATTCTATGAAAGTGACAGTGCACTGTGCACAAGCAAATCTAGAACCATCACATGCATACCAACTACAATATTATACTATACATTTCCTTATTATTACTATTAAAATAATTGGGGATGGGTTGGTGAAAGGTGTTGTTTGCAATAAATTTTAAATATATAGATATTAAATTATTAAAATTATAAGAGTTCAACCACGTCTTGATATGAATATCCTCAGAGTTTATGGTATATTTGAGATCACAAAGACAATATTTTATGTATCTTTGTGAGATGATGTTTCAAGGAAATATAATCCCTTTTATATATGGAGCACGTCTGATAGAATCATGTCTACAGGTGCTTCATGAACCTTAATAAAACTTCAAAATGTTATCTACCCTTCATTTACTAGTGAATGCGCTTAAGTGACTGTTCTTTCATGAGTTAATTTCTTTCCAGGCAGTTTTAATGAATTTTAACCTAGCTGTCGTTTTATTATCTACAACTATATCAGTTATCACCATCAGCAGAGCATACTCAGCTCTATGATTCCAAACTCAGTTCCATGGAGGTGTAAAGATTTCTTTCTTAACCAACAAATTACAGAAATCACTTTATACAACACCTTCCACAATGCAATTGCCAAGATATGTACACAGTCCTTGTCCTTAAAAATAGAGAACAAAAATTCGAAATATGAAGGCTTTGCACTCCCAAGGCATTCAGCTAGTTTCTCCTTGCGAACTAGAGCACCATTGCAGTCATCCCTCTTTCACGCCAAATACTTAAACCGGACATTATTTTCTAAGAACACCTGGGAATATAATGAGCCAAATGCACTCAAATAGCATTTGCCAACAAAGTCAGATCCTTATCATTATTTTTTAATGTACTCTGTGTTGGTTAAAACGGTATAACTACAGAAAAGAAATAATTCTCCTAGCTAAAATAGGAGGTATTCATACTCCTTTTGAGGAGGATCCTTACACCTATCATGTTCTGTGAGAATGTGTACAGATAAAACTAAGCTATACTACTTTTCTATGTATTTACTTACGAAAAATAAGCAGAGATCAATCAGGCTTGGAAAACCATACATCGACACAATTGTTGCTACATTTGGAAGAATTAAAAAGAGAACAAATTTCACTATGACACCAAACTAGAAATGCACTCTGGTAAAGTGCTTCTCAACAAAGGATCCTATTAACAAGCGAGTTATGTATTTCTCTACATCCCAGCTTTGCAATGTCTTTCTGCAGACATATGTACACTGCCTACATAAACTGACAACAAACAAAAGGTTTATAATTTATGGTACACAATCATTGAACAAGGCTTCATACTCAGCCATGTTGCCAGTTTATCTACTCCATGAGATTCAACGTCATGTCCTCTGTGTTTCTTACTATCCTCATGATGGATTTGGGTTTGGTATATGATGTCTTGATTCTCCATCCAAATGATACTGGATTCCAAAGGTCAACAACGAAAATAAATAATTCAGAAATATAAATTCATCTGGTTAAAGTGTGGATCAGCAAATCTACATAAACAGCCTTGTCCCCACATGATAATCTTGTTGAAGAAAAAGCAGATGAAGTTCATAAGTATTCAGCATTGCAATAAAGCACCCAAGTTAACATGTTCCAAAATTAAGAATCTCATGTACATTACTAAAGAAGAGGGAAAAAATTATGGACGACGCCGTTTCAAAATGCAATGTCATTTGCGACGCTATCCATCGTTTTAATTATTTTTACAAAAAGCGACTGACAGTGCTTTTTTTGCGCCAAATATATATATACTTAATAATTATTTATTTAATATACGTAGGGACGTCGTCCGTCGCTCTTAATTAAAAAATAATTATTTATAACGATAGCGTCCGTTAATTTATCAATTATTACTTTTAAAAAGCGATGGATGGCGTCGCTTAGTCCGCTGCTTTTTGGTCAAACATTTTTAAAAAGCGGCAGACGATGTCGCTTGCTTGGTCAAACATTTTTAAAAAAGCAACGTCGTCCGTCACTTTTCTTAAAATATATGAGAGACAACACGAATTTCCTCGTTCTCTCTTTTCCTCTCTAGAAACAGACGCAAACCACCCACACTACCGCCCTCGGCCCCTGCTGCCCCATCCCCTCTCTCTCCTTATTAAATTAAGGTTAGAGTTTGTATTTATTTTAGTTTTTTCATTTGAGTAACTTTTTAACTATTAGTTAGTTTATTCTATTTAGTTTGTTGAATTTATGTTATTAACATAGTTAGTTTGTATATTTGATTGTTAGTTAGTGAATGAAGTTATAATTTTGATTTTAGAGCTTTAATTTGAATTGAGGTTTTTTGAATTAGATTGTCAATTGGTATTTTTGAGTTGAAATTGAAGTTAGAACTAAGAAGTATGAACTAGTTGAATTTTTGAACTTACATACTTGAAAATAGAATGTTTGAAAGTTGAACTTCAAAAAAAATTGGATTGTATGATTTTTGAAGTTTAGAACTGATTAGAACTTGGAACTAATTAGATATTCAATGTCATGAACTTGAATTTTAGGATTTTTAAAGTTGAACTTAGAAGTTTTTTTAGTTTGTATAAATATTGAATTTTAGACTTTAGAACTAATTAATTAGAACTTAGAACTTCATGAACTTGAACTTTAGATACTTGAATTTTAGGATTTTTGAACTTTAATTATATTAATTAGTTTAAACATATTAACAAGTTCAAGTATGTAATGACAAAAATCCTAAAATTCAAGTATCTAAAGTTCAAAAGTCTAAAAGTTCAAAATTTATACAAACCAAAAAAACTTTTAAGTTCAACTTCAAAAATCCTAAAATTCAAGTTTATTACATTGATTATCTAACTTCTACTCCCTCTGTCCCAATTTATGAGACACTTTTCGTTTTTCGAGAGTCAAACAGTTTAAATTTGACCGACAATTTGCACATGGAATCTTCAAATTTTTGGAATGAAATTTATATATTTGTAAACTACGTAAAAAGTATTATAAGTCACAATAATTGATAATTCAAAATGTTTAAAAGATTTATGAAAAACTTACGGTCAAAAATAGACTTGTTTGAATCTCGAAATCCGAAAAGTGCCACATAAAATGGGACGGAGGGAGTAATTAGTTCTAAACTTCAAAAATCATACAATCCAATATTTTTCTAAGTTCAACTTTCAAACATATTATATTCAAGTATCTAGGTTCAAAAATTCAACTAGTTCTAACTTCTAATCACTTCTTAGTTCTAACTTCTAACTTCAAAAACACTTCAATTCCAACTCAAAAATACTCAATTCTCAATCTAATTAAGGAAAAAACCCCAATTCAAACTAAAACCCTACAATCAAAATTTTAAATTCATTCACTAACTAACAATCAAATATATAAACTAACTATGTTAATAACATAAATTCAACAAACTAAATAGAATAAACAAACTAACAAATAAAAAATTACTCATATTGAAAAAAACTAAAATAAACACGAACTCTAACCTTAATTTAATAAGAAGGGAGAGAGGATGGGGCAACAAGGGGCTGAGGTTTGCGACAGTCAGCGTAGTAGGGATGAGGGCGGCGGCGACAGTGGTGGCAGTATGGGTGGTTTGTGTCTATTTCTAGAGAGAAGGAAGAGGAAAAGAGAGAATGAGGAAATTTGCGTCTATCTCCTAGATATTTTAAGAAAAGCGACTTACGATGTCGCTTTGTCCACCGCTTTTTAAAAAATGTTTGACCAAAAAAGTGACGGACTTGAGCGCCATTGGTCGCTTTTTAAAAATGTTTGACCAAAAAGCGACGGACTAGGTGACGTCGTCCGTCGCTTTTTTTAAAAAATAAATGATAAATTAAAATTAACTAAAAACGATAGACGACATCGTTATTTAATTTATAAATAATTATTTTTAATTAAAAACGACCGACGACGTTCCTATGCATATTACATAAATAATTATTAATTATATATATATGGCATAAAAATCCAACAAAAAAAGCGACGGACATAGAATCACTATATGTCGCTTTTTGTAAAAAAAAATTAAAAATAAAAATGATGGACAGCGTCGCAAATGGCGTCGCATTTTGGAATTACGCCGTCCATCATTTTTTGTCTGTCATTTTTTCCTTGTTTTTAGTAGTGACTGCAAACTACCGACAAGACATGATAAGGTTCTTCAGTAACTTCAATAATATGTGCTAACCCTCTCTCTTAGACATTGTCAAGGAACAGGTGCAAGGGAGCATAAGCAACCTGATCTTTGCCTATTAGGGATCCAACCACAGAATGCAACCATTTCTTGACATATTAATCCGCAAAAAACTAATTTTACCATTTAAACCTCGAAGTCTAGAGCTTGTCTAACTAGCCAGTAGGCTGCTAAGCAAATCAAAATACCAGCCTAATTGATGCCCTTTAATGTATTCATATTATACATCTTTAAAACTTACCTTTTCCCTCATCCGTGAACTCCAGATGTCAGAATGGCCACCTCTTGCATCACCTTTAGCCAACCCAGATGTTTGGCTTAAACGTGGATCAAGCAGTGGCTCCCTCGTTCTTCCAACAACATCATAATCTCCCTCCATATCATAATTTAGTTTAGGGCTACTAACCAAAGTTCTGAGAACAACTGCGAGAAATAAGGAGAATGCCTGGAAATGACGAAGAATAAGATTTTAGCACAACATGGACCATACACCAAACAAACAGTTAGAAGAATCTTTAAAATACTAAATCAATCACAAGAGCACAAGCCAAAAACCACAAGCGGGTTGATTTACTACTGTTTTGACCATGTCTTTCATTCTTGTCCACCACTCGTGCTCATAAGTTGATAAAACACAAATTTTAGCATGTATCATATGTAAAGAGTATATACCGGGGAATTTCACATCCCTTCCCCAGTAAAAGAAAACATACTATCTGTAAGAACCCGCACAAGATCTTTTGATCTTCTTTCCTAGTTGCTCTGTAAGATGCTCCTTGCCCAAAGGCTAAGTTGATTAATATAACATCAGGCAAAGTTGATGCAACACCTTTTCAATAATAATAATGGCAGATTCTACCTATTCTGAAGCATGTTCCAGATAACATATACATTAGTAATCCCAACTTTCTCAATTTCCACCTTAACGAGAAGCATCACCTAGTCTGGATGAAGGTATTCAAAAACAAACAAGGAACACAAAATAAAATCTTAGAAGACCTTCAAGTTCAAAGAAAACCTGCCTGAATTACGACAACAACAATGCCAATCCACTTACAAACATCCATATTTTGTTGAATAAAGGTGCGGAGGCTGTGAAGTTCTCCAGTTGGGTCCGTTGGAAGATCCTAGGAGGAGACAAAACAGGTGTCTGAATTTGAATTATTAACAGGTAAACCAGGATAGAAACTCTACACCAGGAGAAGACTAGATCTGAAACAAACAGCTCACCTTCTCCCAATGATGATCAATTGCAATAAATGCAACCAGACTTACTTCCAAGAGTACAAAAGTCATCATTAGCAGAGAGTACTAGTATTTTTAAGTGGTCAAGGCTAACAGTCAATCAGTACTAGCTGTTTATATCAATTCATGAAGTAGCACTTAATTGAAGAAGTATAATGATGACCAATGGGACAACTTAACTTTTATTTTTCATTTGGTCATAGTAAATGCCGGAAAGAAACGAAAAGACATAGTAAAATTAGGGGGGGAAACGCCTTTCCGCCTATCTATTCTTTTGTTTTTTTCTCTTTATTCAAAGTAAGCAGATTGAAAGCACGAAAAGGATAATTCTCTAAAGTAAGATTCACCTTATCTAGGGCTTGGTCTACCTTAAAAAGCCCAATAAGTCCTGCTGCGGACAAGCCTGAGCCCTACCTCTAGCGAGAAGTAATTCACCATCATTCGGTTAGGATCAATCTAAACCAACCTAGAAAGCCAAAGCCGTTCAGTGGTGAATCGGTGGATCAGAGATGCCTTCCGTCGATCGGCTGTAGTCGATAAAGGCCGTAAAACATAGGAATGCAGTGGTGACCTCAAGAGGGTCTACAGACTTACTTTCCCCTTAGGACTGATCCAAATTCCTTTTCTTTACAAAATGAGAACAGGAAGAGCTTTTTGTGTCAGTCTCCTCGACACCCTTCCCTCTTGATTTGTTTTTTGAAGCATGACAAAGGGTATACCATCTTCTCTATGTCGCCGTCTCATCAATGAGCGCAGATTAATAGCCAAGAACATCAATAAAATCCAAGCCAATGAAATTTTAAGTGAGAAGTTAATCATCCCCGCGATCTAGACCAAGTGAAGTGCACCAAGGATGAGGAGGGCAATGTATTGGTGGCAAATGAACTTATCAAACAAAGTTGGCCGACATACTTCACAAACTCTTGAATGAAGACGAGAACAAGAGTATGGTGTTGGGGGATCTAGATCACTCTGAGAGCTATCAAGATTTTTGGTATTGTAGGCGCATTAAGCTTGACGAAGTAGAGGGGTTATGTGTAAGATGAGCGGGGTAGAGCGACCAGACCGAATGAGATTCCGATGGAATTCTAAAAAAGCGCGGGAAGAGCGGGTCTGGAATGGTTATCTGGATTGTTTGATGTCATCTTTAGAACTACAAAGATGCCCTAGGAGTGGAGGTGGAGTACTATTATTCTGTTGTACAAGAACAAGGGTGATATTTAAAATTGCAATAACTATAGGGGTATCAAGTTGTTGAGTCACACTATGAAAGTTTGGAGAGAAGGGTTGAGATAACAGTAAGAAGGAGTGTTTTTATTTTCGAGAACCAATTCTTCATGCCAAGGTGATCGACTATGAAAGTCATCACTTTGTACGGAGATTGGTGGAGAAATATACGAAAAGGAAGAGGGACTTTCATATGATGTTCATTGATCTTGAAAAAGCATATGACAAAGTTCTGAGAGAGGTTCTATGAAGATTTGGAGGCTAAAGGTGTTCCAATCTTATACATTAGGGCTATTAAGGACATGTATAATGGAGCTAAGACCCATGTGTGGATAGGGGGAGGAAACTCATGTCACTTTCTAGTCGTAATGGGATTGCATTAGGGGTCGGCTCTTAGCCCGTTTTTATTTGCTTTGGCAATGGATGTTCTGACATAACGCATTCAATGGGATGGGAGGTGCCTGGTGCATGTTATTTGTTGATGACATTGTACTGATTGATGAGACGCATAGCGGAGTTAACAACAAGCTTGTGTATGGAGACAAACCCTGCAGACTGAGCAGGACTAAGATAAAGTACATGGAGTGCAAGTTCATTGATGTGCCTCGTGTAGCGAACGTGGAAGTGAGGTTGGATTCTCAAGTCATCTCCAAGAAAGGGATTTTCAAGTACCTAAGGGCTATTATTCAAGGCAACAGAGAGATAGACGAGGATGTCACACATTGTATTGGTGAGGGATGGTTGAAATGGAGGCTAGCTTCTGGTGTCTTATCTGATAAAAATGTGTCACTAAGACTTAAAAGGTAAGTTCTACTCAATAGTATTTAGATCGGCTTTGTTGAATGAGGTCGAGTGTTGGCTAGTCAAGAACTTCAATATACAGAAGATAAAAGTTGTGGAAATAGAAAGTTAAGATGAATGTGTGGGCTTACAAGGAGAGATATGATCAAAAATAAAGATATTCGAGCCAAAGTGGAAGTGGCCTATGTGGCAGACAAGATGCAAGAGCCTAGACTGAGATGGTTCAGACATATCAAGAGGAGATGCATGGACGGCCCAATGAGGAGGTGTGAGAGGTTGACGATGGAGGGACTGAGGAGAGATAGGGGTAGACCAAAGAAGTATTGGGAAGAGGTAATTAGGCAAAACCTGGTAAGCTGAAAACATGGCAAGCCTTCGACTTACCAAGGATATACCCCTTAATAGGAGGGTGTGGAGGTCGAGGATTCAGGTAGAAGGCTACTAGTAGATAGTTTTACACCTGGTTTCTCCGGCTAGTAGTATTTGTATTACTTTCAGTATTTATATTATTTTACTACGTCCATATTCTTATTATTTTCTATTACTACTTGTTGTCTCGTACGCCTCTACTTCCTTACTTTCCTGCTATTGCTTACATCTTCATATGTTGTGTCTTTGCTTTCTTTGAGTCGAGGGTCTTTTGGAAACAACGTCCCTACCTAACAAGTAAAGATAAGGTTTGTGTACACTCTATCCTCACCATACACCACTTGTGGTACTATACTGAGTATGTTGTTGTTGAAGTTAGCAATTCCCGCTATAGTTAAAACTGGAAACCTGGAAGCTCCATACTAAGATCAGACTATCCATTCAAGACAATTCATGTGTTTTAGCTTTCTACTCCTCGCGAAAATATCCCTTTCATCATATACTCTCCAAACAGATTTGTGTGAAGGATGAAACACTCCAGTTCTGAGTAACTCATATCACGCAACTCCTATTCAGAGACAACATATTAATAGGCATCCACCTATGACAGAGCTGAATGTGCGTTCAGTTCTAACTAACATATCAGTTTCTTTCAGCTACATAATCAACCCAAAAGTTATGCATTGTGGATAACAACTTAACAGTGATTATACATACATCTGGAAGAAACATAAAAAATGGAAGGAGTGGAACACAAAAGAGTAAAAAGGATACAAAGCAAAGGCAACACCCATTAACAGCTTCAGCACCAACATGCCCAATACAAGTGATACAACATAAGATGACGCCAATTCCCATGAATGCATATATAAACCTGAAGAAACAAAAATAGCATTTCAATAACTAATCATATCGCCAAAAGAATTGTTCAGTTGCATTTGAGTAGTCTAATTCGAAAATCTTAGTAGCTGAGTTGGTTAACTGCCCCTCCCCCATTTCTCCCTCCCGTAACCCTATGTAGTAAACCCTTCCGCCCTTCGCCACTCCAATTTTTTTACAAATATGATCTCAAACATCAAACTCCTGAATCTAAAGAAATAAAAACAGGAAAACAAATATTACCATGGAGCTGGAAGCGAATTTTTGTTCAACTCTGGTAAAGCCGAGACGACAGAATTTGAAACGTCAATTGAGCCAAAATTGAGGAATTGGGCGTCATGAACATCGTTGTGGTGGTGGTGCCAGTGGTTAAGCATATAGGCAGAGTAAATGATGATGGAGACACCAATGAAAGTTTGTAAGAAATTGAGGAATTTCAGAAGAAATGCGGTGAAACCTTGGCAACATGGTGTTGGCATTCTGAGATTCCTCTTCTACCCACAAACCCTAATAATCGTAGAATTGTTCCCTCTATGCTCTGTTCCTCGTTCTGTACATTTTTGGTCAAGCAAAAAACTGTGGATGATGATGATTGAGCTGGCAAAAGGTTTTGTTTTTTACTTTTTGTTTCCTTCTCAGGTAAGCACAATTATTGGGCCAGGTATTTTGGGGCAAGTGCACAAATATTATTTTTTTTGGGTGTCATTTAAGAGAAAATAACAAAGTTATCCCTTTTTTTAACCATAGGTTCAAAATGGTTCCATAACTATGCATTTAACACTTCTAATCCTTTAAGTTTACCATAGGTTAGTAAATATGATCTTTTAAATATGTATTTGACAGTTTTTGATCCATTATATTTGCTAAAAGTTAGTAATATTTTTAGTCTTCAATAAAATATTTATTGAAATCTATTTGTTAAATTTGACATAAATTATGAATTTCCGTTTAGTGAGAACTCACATTTAAATGTATACACTATTTGTTAAATTTGATGGAAACTATGAAATATTTAAGTGACCTAGCCTCTTTTTAGTCATTTCAGTCCAATTCATTTCACTCCAAGTAACTTTTAAGCCGATTTTAGCCCAACTTATTTATTAACTCAATTTATTTTAACTTATCCAATTTCATCCCAACTCGTCAATTTCACACCTATAGATTCAAATAAGAAGTTCAAAAATAGAGACAATGAGAATGAAGAGCCGGATCCATTTTTTTTAACAATATTATTCATGCGTAAAACTTATAGTCGCAGTTTAATGCAAATAAGAAGTTCAAAAATAGAGACAATGAGAATGAAGAGCCGGATCCATTTTTTTAACAATATTATTCATGCGTAAAACTTATAGTCGCAGTTTAATGCACAAATGGCAAAACAAATTTGAAGAGTCGGTGGAGATTGATCAGCCACCTGCAGATGAACTTTAAATCCTTAGAGCTTTCTAGTATAGACATGAAATTATTCCAAAGGTGTAAAATTGAAACTCAATTGTCAAAATTTTTGTTCTTTTGCTCAATTGGCCCCATATTTTACTCACTCTCATGCTTTTGGAAAGCAACCTATTTATTATACTTCAACCAACAACAAAAACACTCCTCTTGTTTGTATAAATAAATGACTCATTACTTTACTCATTTACACTAAACATCTCACAAACACATTGTAGTTTATTTTTTTTTGCCAATGGCTAATCCAGGTTTTGCTATCACCTTAGCCATTGTTGTTATAACAACTTTTATAACATACTCTGATGGTGCACCTCGTGCTTTTTTTGTGTTTGGGGACTCACTTGTTGACAATGGCAATAACAACTTCTTGGCAACCACTGCCCGAGCTGATTCTCCGCCTTATGGCGTTGATTATCCAACTCATCGTCCTACTGGTCGTTTCTCCAATGGTTTAAACATTGCTGATCTTATAAGTAAGTGTGAAAATTGTCTTTCGTGTGACATTATTAAGTCCTGCATGTTTCATCTCATAATTTCGTTAAAAGAGGACATTGTAGATTCAGTTAAGGACGCGATCCAATAGGTGGGAGAATGAAAAATTTAAGTCATTTTCAATACGTTGAAAATCCTTTCGATTTATGTATAATGAAAATGTGCATGAACAGGCAAACAACTTGGCGCTGATCCAACATTGCCGTATTTGGACCCTGCGCTTGATGGAGACAAGTTGCTAGTGGGAGCAAATTTTGCTTCCGCTGGAATTGGAATACTTAACGATACTGGGATACAGTTTGTAAGTCAAAATTAAATATTATGCATATTATTTTTCAACTTCTTTTTTTTTGGCTTACTTTGAGGTAAAAACAAAATTGATCCTCTAGCATAAGTCAAAGGGATCAATAAATGGTATGCACCGTTAATGTAAGTAGTAACTTCTTTAATTAGTATGGTTGGCACATTTTTTATGAGGTTTAATCTTCCCAACCCATTGAATTAACTATGCATCAAACGACACTTTTTTTTAATTGACAGCCACAAGAAAAGAAAAAAAAAAGCTTGTCTAGACTCTCACTATCTTTATATTCTATTTCAAAGACATGTTTAAAACTAATCGACCAATAAAATGATATCTTGGTACATTCCAACCTACATATAAGACCCGTTTGGCCCCAAGAATACTTGGAAAAAATTTAGGAAAAACTTGAGAAGTGGTGTTTGGTTATATAACTTGGTAAATATATTTGTCAAGTACCCCAAAAATACTAGAAAAAACTAGTATTTGGGCAAAGTTCTAATATTTGGAAATTTTTAAAAATTAAAAAATTACCCCAAAGTTTTATATTTTATAAAAAAATACCCATTATTTATTAATTCCAACTAATATTTGTTACTACCTCTTCCGAAAAAGTTTGAGTTCTAATTTGAGTGATAAAATTGAGAAAAAGGAACAATTTGTGTTTAATAGGTTATAAATATAACTGAATCAGTGACAACTTTAAGTATATGATTAATGTATTGTCTTGCCTATATTGTTATTTTGTTATTATATTGTTGATTGTTATCAATTATATTATAAGGTTAATTTTAATGAAACATATTCATTATAAAATGATAATATAAATATATAGGTATTTCAAATAATTTTTAGAACTTTTTGGTATAAATTATATTTTTTTGAAATAGTCAAATGCTTTTGGAAAAATTTGGGACCAGAACACATGGTGAATCTTCACCCAAATATGATTTGTCAAGAATATTTGAGAACTTGGGATCAAACGCTAGCTTAGTATAAGACTAAAAGATTCAAAAAGTCTATTTACTTTATATTTGTTTTTTGGTTAAAAGTAAGTGTAATTCGATTTTGATAAACTGGGTATATGTAGGTGAATATATTAAGAATCTATGATCAACTAGACTTGTTTCAACAATACCAGCAACGTGTGAGTGCTCTAATAGGAGCTGAACAAACTACGCGGCTAGTGAATGGTGCGCTTGTCCTTATTACTCTTGGTGGCAATGACTATGTCAACAACTACTTCCTAACACCAATTTCCGTTAGACAACTTCAGTACAACATCCAGGATTACTCTCATGTCGTTATTACTGAGTACAGCAAGATTTTGACTGTAATGACTTTAGTACTCTCTCCTCTATACATCTTTACTTGTTCAGTATTTGACTTGATTTCACACCCCAGTAAGTTAGTTGATGAAAATGATTTTAGTTAGTATTTGAAATATGCATATACAGAGACTACATGATCTTGGAGCTAGAAGAGTGCTAGTTACTGGAACTGGACCACTTGGTTGTGTCCCAGCAGAGCTAGCCTTGTGGAGCTCAAATGGGGAATGTGCTAACGAACTTCAACAAGCTTCAAAAATTTTCAACCCACTACTTGTCCAAATGACTACGCGTCTCAATCAACAACTTTCCTCTGATATCTTTGTTGCCGTCAATGCCATGGAACTGCAGAATGATTTCATTGACAAACCAAAAGAATTCGGTACACTACACATTGCTCTTATATTGTTTACCTTAATAATTATCCTTAAGTAAATTGACTAATCAACAAATTATTGAACAGGTTTTGTTACATCAAAGATAGCATGTTGTGGACAAGGACCTTACAACGGACTTGGACTATGCACGACTGCATCTAATCTATGCACCAACAGAGATGAGTACGCGTTTTGGGATGCTTTCCATCCAACAGAAAAGGCGAACAAGATCATTGTTAAAACTATTTTTACTGGTTCGAACAAGTACATGTCACCTATGAATTTAAGCACCATTATGGCCATCGATTCTCTGTAGATCAAACTTACGGGCTCAGAATTTGATATCAATAAAACATGTACTCTTACGGGCTCAAAATTATAGTTGGTATCAATCAAATATGTGCCTTGTACTTCTTTCGGGTTGTCATGTTTTACGGTTCATGTGTTTTTCTGTATCAGCAAAACAACTTAGGAAATTATCAAAAAGAGACATTTTGATGATTTGGCTAATTGAAGCTTGAGATTCAATGAAGTTACTTGGATGTTTCAAATCAACATTATCCTTAAAATGTCAGAGGAAAACTCAATATGATAGAATGAAATTTCCTTGCTTTAGGATTAAAAATGTGAAAAAAATACTTTTTGATGAGTCGGAATATGCTAAAACCTAGGGATTGGGGCGGGACGAGTGCTGAGTGGGGTGAGTTTAAGGCTATACGGGGCGGGGCGGGTTTAAGGTTGTCCGGGACGGGAGGGATTGTCACGACCCAGACCGTCGTGATTGGTACCCACACTAACCCTCCGGTGGGAGAACCACTACAACAACCCAAACCAAGCAACTAAACCAAAAACTAAGTGGGGTGAGTTTAAGGCTATGAGGGGCGGGGCGAGTTTAAGGTTGTCCGGGACGGGAGGGATTGTCATGACCCAAACCGTCGTGATTGGTACCCACACTAACCCTCCGGTGGGAGAACCACTACTACAACCCAAACCAAGCAACTAAACCAAAAACTAACGCATTTAAGTTACAGAAGCAAGTTAAATAGCTAAAGACTAAAGTTCTCATAAACTTTCAAAAGATTTAACAACTAACAATGCGAAAAATACACCTAGAACCTGAAAGTCAATGTACCAAAACATCTAAAGTTCAAACATAAGTCTAAACGAGAAGGGGTACAACCCCATACTAAACATAAGAAATCCCAATACAATAGTCTAAGTCTGAAATGATGGACATAGACGAAAGAGAACTCATGACATCCTGGAAGAACTGGCTCACCCTTGAATTCGAACGACGATCACTGATCTTCTAAACGAGATTTGTCAATAGCCGCCTGAAGATGCCCTGTACTCAACAAAGAAAGAGCAAGTGCAGTATCAGTACACAACCACAATGTACTGGTAGGATCACACGGCTATCCCACTAAGTGTAACATACATAAGCCATTACAACAATATAATCACATGCATATATCGAACATATACAATATCATCATCATTTACGAACAACAAACAACTTCATATTTCTCAAGATACACAATTATATCAAATCATTGGTCCTCTCATGGAACCTAAACCCAAACTGTTAGCATATCAGAACATGGTACCCGATCCAATCTTTATGCCGGAACGTGGCAATCGATCCAAGTTAGTGTGTCGGAATGCAAAATCCGA